CAACCACGTTATTATTATACTAAAACTTCTATATAACCTTTTAGGGTATCTCTAGAGTATTAACCTCGATATAAGAATGCAAAATGAGTTTTGGACGCAACTCACCTATAGGCTGCCATAGCCGCTAGCAGGGTTTAGTGCGGGAAGCCTTCCAAGTAGACTCGCCGAGTCCATTGCTTTCAGGTTACTATTGGCGTCTGTAAAGGGAAGGCCCGATAATTCGGGCGCACAACGGTCGTGGTAATATTGAATCTTGTTTAGCTTTCTAGATTTGCAGTGGCCCTTTCCTGTTGGAGATGCATTCCCCAGATATCACCGTCAAAAGCAAGACGCGGATTCAGCCGCAGTTTACCACATATTCCAGCCGCAGCCGCAGCCGCGCTATGCCGCTGTCCCTCCTGGACGCGACAACAGCATCGTTTGCTTTAACCAGCGCCATTTGGGTGTTTGGTCGCCCGACATATGCTCATACGCATGCATTCTACTTGGCAGACCACCTTTGCCGCAGCTTCGCCGCCGCTCTTGACGCCTTCCCGCACTGGGCCGGGCAGATCAAGGCCATCCAAACGACCGACGGCCAGAGCCCACCTGAAGTGGCAGACTTTCCCGTCCATGCCCGTCGGTTCGGGCGTGTATATGCCAAGTTTGGAGATGGGGACAGCCCTGGAGTGGATGTAACCGTTGCCACCAGCTCGACCACAGCAGAAGACCTCCATCCGTCGACACGGACAACAAGCCAGACATTGTGGCAGGGCCAAAGCACAGGTCTTTACCATTTCACCTCGCCTGCCAAGATAGCGGATCCGTTTCAGCCCGACAACAAAGACGATGAGGGACTGCGAAAGCCCGTGATGGCTGTTCAAATCACGGAACTGGCTTGCGGTGGCTTCGTATTGGCTATTAAGATTGCACACCCCTTGGCTGACATCATCGCTCTCGTAAGCTTTGTAAAGCATTGGGCTAAAGTCAGCCATGCTATTCTTGGTAAAGGGCAGCAAGATGCATCGGAATCCTCACCTCCAGTTTTTGACCCGGCCAAGCTCGACGCATTTGCGGCAGGCAATATCAACTCTCCGAGCCCAGACGCCGCCATATTGGCAGCTATAGCGAAGCTGCCCCTACATCGATACGATTGGTGGCAATCTGCGCCGGATTGCCCTTGGCCGGTAGCCGTCCCGGAGCCGTTTAAAGGCAACGAGCCGATCTTCGGCGGCGAGCTCATGCCGTTCTCCGACTGGGATATCGGCGCGCCCGTGTCTCATTACGTCATTCACTATACCAAGGCTCAGATTACGCTACTCAGTAATGCCGCCAACAGAAATAACAGTAGCAGTATCAAGGATAGAACGCAGCGACTAAGTCAGCATGACGCGCTCCTGGGACACGTTTGGTCATGCATTGCGAGAGCTCGTAACCTGAGCCAAGACGCCAGGCCCATCCACTGCGACTTGGTCTACGGCGTTCGGCCTGCTCTGCAGCTGGGTGTCGACTTTGTAGGATCTCCTATCCTCATGATCAACATTGAGCTGCCTGGCGCCGACGTCGCTGGCAATGGAAACGAAGGCGCAGACACAGACACAGATGGCAACAACATGTCCCACCTCGGACGTGTCGCTGGCCGCGTGCGCGAGACCATCGGCCAGATTGCCCAGCCTGCCAATATCGCCAAGCACCTCCACAGTGTCGCGTACGAGTCGACGCCGCAGCGCATCTGGCAGGCCTTTCTTGGTCGCAGTCACATCCTCGTCACAACGTGGGCGCGATCCGGCATCTACGATGTCGACTTTGGCCTGGGAAGCGCCATCTGGTACGTGGATGGCGTTGTACCAGACATGGACGGCACCGTGGTGATTAAAGAGGCGCCACCTCCACTTGCATCTGCGTGTATTGTAGCATCTACGGGTACTACAAGACTTTCGTCCTGGACCGAGAATGGCGTCGATGTTTCTGTTCGTCTCCGTACCGAGGATATGCAACGATTACTGGCGGATGCGCTGCTATTCCCAAGTTCTGATCACTAAAGATGAGCAGATTATAGATACTTAAGATTGATTTTTTTTTCCATAATGCATTGGAACATATAGATTAATCGTTATTGATGACTAGATGTAGTGTTTTCGTGTAATTGTCACGTTGTATCGGCAGTAAGCCGCCGCGCTTCTTGAATCTTCTCTTAGTGCTGGTGTGGTGGAATATGAGGATTGGCCAGCTTCTTTGTCCCTCTTGCCATTTAATCGGACATTTGCTGATTCCTTCTTTATGACTATTAAATATGACTAGTTTATACGTATTTTTCTTTTTTGGAAAACTTATAGAATCCTTTTCCTGCCTTTATGACTTGTCAATACGATTGGTGGCCGCGTCTCAACCGCTGACTAACACTACCACCACTGCCCCTTTATCGCCGGTGGCCGCGCTTGGGATTATCCATCGACACTGACAGTTACCCTCTTGCCAATTCCTCAGTTCTTTGGCTATATACGCAGAGCCTCACATATATAGCAAGCATCCCACGTGCAACGTCCCGACAGCTGCATGAGATACCGGCAGGTTGCAGGCTTGCCAAGGGAAACCAGCGCGAAAGTGCCCACCCGGTAAGAATGGTCCGGCTTCCCGGCAGGATCGAGTCGTATTGGGCACGGCAAGCTGGATAGATGGCATTGTACTGTGGGTTATAAAACAATGACAAGGCTCCAGGCAATGACAAGGCTCCAAGCAATGACAAGGCTCCAAGGATGGCACATAGGCTGAGGCTGAAGCTGAGTGTGGACTGCTTGGAAGCCTGGCTAGCCTTGGCCTGAATCCCTCCACCAACTACACGGCGGCCAACTGTCGTGCAATGGCTACCCAATGTCAATCATGGAGCCTGAAAATTCATTCTCTTTGCGATTAAGACAGTCAAACAGATCCCGTCCGAGATGAAGCCGCGACACGGGCGTTTGTGCAACCGCTCGGCACGACGTCTCGTCAGATCGAACGGGCCCCCAAAGGAATATGCAGAGACCTCGGGTGGCTGCTGCTGAAAAGCCTGATAACGCTCAGATATTAAATAGTCATACAGGTCAGAGGCCATGGTACGGCTGCTATTGGTGCTTGGCAGGCAGCCTGGATTGTTTTGCAGTACAGACAGCCTGGTTAGCTGCCATGTCATCACGGCGTAATATCTCGAACCATGCGGTTACTTGTCAGCACATACAGGTGTCCCCGGAGCTATTGACCTTTAGGTATTGGTCACTCCCGCTTCGAGTGCTATGGACCTCGGAGCCTAGTAGCCGTTGCATAAGTATTCTTATCAACGTCTTCCTGTAAAGTCTACTTCTCATCTTGATATCTGTAGGTGCGTTATATTGTTCGCCGTTGCCTCCTCTCCAGGTCTCGTCTGCACACCATTAGCTGCGTCATGTTTGGTACATTGCATCAGAGGTCCGGCAATGAGGCAGAATTCATCGAGAGACCCCATGGGTCTTCCAATCTAGAAAGAAACTCGGCTTGTGATCGATGCAGAGCAAAAAAGGTATGCCCAAGCACACATTCATACACACTATAAGGAGCGGATGCGCTGGTTCATCGAGTGTCCCACTGACAGATCTGCGCTACGTGCTCAGGTGAAATGCAACGGTACCCAGAATGGTTGCAGCCGATGCGAGTCTCTGGGAAAGAAGTGCAGATTCAGCGAGAAACCTACAAACAGGAAACCGTGCAGAGGCGACTTCAACAGAACCCAGCGGCAGCCTTCTATCCAATCTGTGCCTGACCCGTCATTTTCGTCTTGGTCGACCATCACTAACACAGAAAACGACAATGGCACCTCATCAGACGGCTGGTCTCATTACTTTGAGTCACACCCAGATGGTAAAACTGACAATGCCGTAAAGCGTCAACTGGAATCACGGGAGCAGCAGCCCAACCGCTCTACGAACGTGCAGACTACTCTTGACCCGTCTCATATCTCCGTTCTCGATCGAATGTCTACCGGCCAGTTCACTGGGCCTAACCCGTCGTCTTCACCGTTCGGAAATGATCGCAACACGCAATCTGAGCCGAGTCGACCTGCGACTGCCAGAAGCTCTGAAAACACATCACCGCAGTCGCTGCCTTTGAGCACGGGCTTTCCAGTATCACGGAGCGACCTCCAATTTTCTTTTCAGCCCCAGAGTTCCGAAATTCTCAAGACAGGCCCCAATGATGCCGGGACGGAATCGGAGACGCTCATCTTGGCCTCGTTGGCATTCTCGGCCGAAAGCTCCGCTACCACAGGTTGCTACTGCTTAGCCGCGACCGTCTTTGCCGTGGAAGAATTGGAGAATAGCTACATGAGCGGCAAACGCGCCGAGCTAGACTCTATCGTCGCGTGTCAGAAGCAGGCTATAGCGTGCTGTCGTTCGCTGATGCGGTGCGGAGCATGCATGGCTAGGAGAGACACTGTTGTTCTGTTGGTTCTGATGACTGAAAAAGTTGTCATGGCTTGCGAGCGTATAAGTCTCCTGTTTCAAGCCAGAAACAATATTAGCTTGAGTGCTCCGGGGTTGCGCTCACCCTTGGATCACGCTTCTCCTTACGGCACAGGCAAAGGCTTAGGCCTTCTTACACCACCAGCATTCTCAATGGACGACGCTGCGCAACCCAGCCTGAGCGGCACCCCGGAGCCAATCCACACACCGAAAGGCTGGCAGGAGATTTTTCTCGGAGACTATGAAATCACATGCCCTCGGGAATGGCAGACGCTCATCCGCGCTATTATTCTGCTCCAGTTGACGTCGCTGACGGAGATGCTTGTGGACTTGAAGAGCGTTGGTAGCACGCTTCTGGGCGAAACGCAGATGCTCAGCCTGACTCGGGCGATTTTGAAGCTTGGCGAAATTGAGGCGGCGATTTATACATTATAGAGCCAAGACCTGAGCCTGGATGTAGCCACAGTACGAATTGATTCATGGAAGCTAGAGGTTCTTTGCTGTACCGTTCCGTGCCGTGCCTGAACTTGCAAGACTGGATGCCGTCAGCGTCATTGAAATCCCTATTTCCTAACTCCTACATTGCTATATGGGCCTTGGTCTGCGGAGAATGTACTCAGACCTGGGGTTGCCAGCTTTCAATCTGCATTGTACGATGAGCCTCCGCTGAACAAGGGGTGGTTGCTCAAGAAGCATTCGCCCTGCGTACATATCTAATACTAGGCTTAAATACAATTTATTCAATGCGACTTAGTGAAACCTTATTTGGACACCTTTTGAGCCCAGTCTTCGCAGCGGTACGATGAGGTCGTGAACCATCTTGACGTCTGACTCATTCGTCTCGTGGAGACTGAACTCGGCACCGCCAGGGCGGAAAAGTGCGGCGAGAATGAAATTGATCTCACAGTAAGCGAGACTAAGATGATACCGTCAGTGTCACTTTACGTTGTATCCGAAGTGCACAAGCTTGCGGGCAGATGAAGGGGGGCCAAGAATTGACTTACTGCATCCCGAGACAGTGCCGTGATCCTTTTGAAAATGGAACAAGGCTGTGCTGCATCTCGGAAGTGACGTTTTGCAGCCATCTCTCGGGCATGAATTTCTCTGGGCTGGGAAATATAGACGGATCGCGGTGCTGGAAGTAGGCTGACATGCCGACGGGCACGCCAGCCGGAATCACCCACTCCCTGAAAGCCAGAGGCTGAGACGGCGAGACGCGAGGACGACGGTGCATGGTGCCATAACTCAGACTGTATGGTACAAAGCGATTAGCAAGACGTCATCACAGCATTGGCGGGGACAGGATGAGATACCGAAGACCCTCTTTGATCAATGCCTGCAGGTATTCCACCTTTTCCAGCTCTGCCCAGGTCGGCTTCTTGTCCGGGTAGCCTTTCATCACGTCTGTCAAGTCTGTTGCCAGACGTTCCTTGATGGCTGGATCAGCCAAGATGTAGTAGCAGAGAAAGGCCAATGTCCCGGCTGTAGTCATGGTTCCGGCGCCAATGAGGACCTGCGCCTCCCTCGAGAGACGCTCCTCTGAAAGCTCAGACGGTGGGAGGTCACTATTCAGTAGATGTCGGAATAAAGTGTCCCGAGTGCCGCCCGTCAGTGTGCCTTTTAGCTCCATGGTGGACTTTTCCCTCTTTGCATCTTTAATATGGCCTTGACACATCTAAAGACGACACATGTCAGCACAAGGAGGCTAGTCTTTTGAAGGAGCTTCAAGCAGGGTTAATCTCACCAGCTTGAATCTGTTGAAGGTGTGAATGTTGCGACTCAGTTTTGTCATGATACGTTCCGGAACCAGGCGGATGAGACTGTCTTGTTTAGCAAACGAAAATCCATACGCCAATATCTGACCAGGACTATACTCACCGAATCAGCCAAGGTAGACCCATGAATAGCGGCAGCGACACGGCACCATCATGGAAAAGATCAAACCACTCTGGCGCAAACTCGGGATCCTCCACAAAGCTTGGCGGGTTGTCCATGCACAGCCGGCAGATCACGTCGCCGGAAAAGGCAGTAAAGGCGTGGTCGAGCCGGACGACCCGGCCGCTTCCCCGAAAGGTCTCGAAGCGGTGCACAATTAGCTTCTCGCACACCTCGGCCACCATGGGCTCCAGCTTGGACACGCCGCTGCGGGAAAAGTACGGGTCGAGCGGCCTTCTCCGCGCGCGGTGGAGGTAGTGGTCAATTGTCGCGAGATGCGATCCTTCAAAGTCGACGACGCCCTTGACGAAGCCTTCGTACCTGTCGGAAGGTCGGACGGACCCTATGACGTAGAGTTTGTCATAGTACGTGTTGTCTCGAATGGAAAGCTCGTCTGGGTTGATTCTCACAATCGGACCTATAATGCCCTACGAATTAGCCCGTTGGCACATTCAAGTGATTTTTCCTGGGGAAGGGGGGCAGGAATATGTGCAATATGTGGAATGTACCGTATTGGTCATGCATTCTCTCAATCTCGTATAGATATCTTCCCTTTTTGACGACATCATAGTAGACCTCGTACCAACTTGTTGCTGCGGCTAGCTTTGGTCCTGGAAACTTTGCAATGGGGGAGAGAAAGAGACGATGAAAAACGATAGCAACGATGTAGAACACACATATTCCAAGGGCGGTAATGGCCCATTGGAAAGCCTGTTTAGAAAATAAGAGCTCCATTTAAACAAAAGTAAGGTAGTTTCCGGATATAGAGTGAAGTCCAATTGCTGCGTAGTATAAATTGACCAAATTGACACTCGGTCTTTATTAAATGAATCCCAATGAAAACAACAGAGGCAATTGCATCGCTTTCGAGACACTGGGTTCTGGAATACCGTTTGCTACTCCAGCTGGTCTAAGAATCGGACGTTGTCCGGTGAGGCTCGGCTCGTTGCCCAATACAGCCACTCCCCGTTCAGCCTCCATCATTCCACTAACGTGTGGAAAATATGACGAGACAGGGATAAAAGAAACAATCATATAATTTAATTTATTGCTGACTTTGGCGATATCAGCAGCGTCCCTAGGCTGGCCAGGAAGGGTCATTTTTCCGGTCAGCCGAATGTCAGTAGCCGTAACAAACCATGGCAGCCTCTTCAAAGCACCCGATAAATATTACTTGCATAGAAATGTTTGATTAACGGTTAGTTACATTTGTTTGCAGCGACTAGAATTATATATCGGAAAAAAAAGAAAGGAGAACAGCACGAAGCGCAGAGTCTAGTCTTCGTACTTCAACGGTATACCTCCATCACACGGGGACAATTTGCAATTATTGGGTCCAGAATAGATTAGAGCAAAAAAACTAGATATTTAGAATATTGGAATAGAATGCCTTCTTTGTATCCCATAATGGCTGCCACGCTTCTTGTTGTATCGTCCGCTGGGGATAGATTGGTCGGGCTCGACCGAGTAACCGTGTCGGACTGGCAACTTTCCCGGATTAATGCTGAGGATTCAATGACTTCTCCATGCACTTGAAGGGGCTTGTCCCCATTTAGATGTACTCCGGGCGCCAACAGCCTGGTGATACACACCAGAGGTCTCGATGATTCAAGGTTTGATCTATAAAGTACTCGTTCGACTGTTGGACAATGTATAGATGGGTCTCTTCAGCACCACTAAACTTCTACATGCTGGTCAAGACTCTGAACCAGATCAATAATAGTTGGAGTGATTTACTCTTTCTCGTTGTCGTTCATCTCATTCTGTTGTGCTCCTACGCACTAGTAGGATACACTTCGTCACTGTACACTGAAGAGCCAAAGCCTCCAACTTTACCCTCCAACTCAACCAGGTGCCAGGACTGCGTGCAAAATGGACTACAAGTTCTCTACCTTGATCGACGCCTCTGTTCATGACAAGGAGGGTCTCTGCCCAGGCATCGATCTGCGCATACATGAGGCCGCCGACCTCGAAGAGGTCGGTGCATTCAGAGCCCAAGAAGACTGGCGTCGCCTTGTCGGGCCGCTCGAGAACCCCTACCGCGGCCTCTTGGGTCCGACATTTAGTTTCATTGCTGTAACGGTACCTGGATGTCTCCCCGATAGATTGGAGATTATTGCCTATGCCCTTGAGGTCGGTTTCATACATGATGGTATGTGAAAACTCTGTCTGATTGTGGAATCTTTGACATGGCTCATCAATCTAGATGTCATCGACAATGACATTCAGGACGCAGATCTAGGAGAAATGGGGGCGACGCTGCAAGATGTGGGTGAGCTCAAGGCAAAGAGCGCTTCTGGAAAGGCCAAAATTGCAGCTCAAATCATCCAGGAGATGATGGCCATTGACCCTGAGAGAGCCACGACTGTTGCCAAGAGCTGGGCATCGTGCGTTCAACACTCTAGCAGACGGCAAAAAGTCACTGATTTCAAGACCCTCGAAGAATACATCCCATATCGGGCCTTTGATGTTGGTTACATGTAAGTACCGATTCCATGTCCCAAAGGCCACAATGTATTCAGACTGATACGATGCTTCCTAGGCTTTGGCACGGGCTTGTCACCTTTGGCTGCGCTCTCACCATCCCAGACGACCAAGCCGACCAAGTCGAGCAGTTGCTCATGCCTGCTCTAGCCACTGCCTCCCTCACAAATGACTTGTTCTCCTTTGAAAAGGAGCGCGACGATACCAACGTGCAGAACGGAGTCTTGGTCGTCATGAAAGAACATGGCTGCACCGAAGAAGCAGCGAGAGAGATTTTGAAAGAGCGTATCCGGGTTGAGTGTGCCAAATACGTCCGTAATGTCAAGGACGTCAGCGCGCGCACAGATCTCTCTCTTGACACGAAGAAATACATTGAGACCATACAGTACACTCTGTCAGGCAACCTCGCTTGGAGCACACAGTGTCTTCGATACCACAAGAACATCAAGCCCAATGAGTCTCAGATGCTGCGGGCTACAGAAGGCGTGGCGAAACATCCCGCAACGTGGGTACCCAAAGACACAGGTGAATGTCTTGCCGACAATATCCAATGCAATGGTCTCCTCAGTGAGGAACTTCCGAGGGTGAATATAATTATGAGGGAAAACGGCGATGGTGTCAACGGCGTCGATGACGCCAACATTGTCAACGGGGTCAACCATGGCAATGCTAACGGACTTGGCGGTGCTAATCATCTATACGGCATCGCTTGTTCCAAGGACTTGACTGATATTTGTGAGGCCAATATTATCAACGGCACCAACGGCAGAGACAACGCTAGCAGGGTCAATGGTTTCAACTATACCAACGGCGGAGATGGCGCTGACAGCGTCAATGGTTTCACTTGTACCAACGGCGGAGATGTCGCTGCCAAAGCCAATGGAGCCGATATTGCCCAGGACGCCCATGATTGGGCAGTTTCTGGTAAATCCATTTCTGATTTATCTGATCCCGAGAATCTCATGGCCACGGTCCTTGATCGAAACCTGACGGACCTGGACGATAGTGTATGTTGAGTCTGGATTTGCCCGAGCCTCCGGTAGCAAAAGTGTTTCCTCGGCAGCAACTGACAATTTTTATAGGTCATTCTGCAACCGTATCACTACTTAAAGTCGCTCCCATCCAAGGGCATACGTGACCAGGCCATTGATGCTCTCAATAAATGGCTCGCTGTCCCTGCCGAATCCACGGTCAGAATCAAGAGCATCATTCAAATGTTGCATGGCGCATCTCTCATGTATGTATGCCTTTTTCAGCCCCAACTGAATCATCTGCCGTCACCGCTTTGCAAGGCACTCTGCTTGGTCTTTTTTCAGGAGCTAACGTGGTTCAGGCTCGATGATATGCAAGACGCCTCTCCGCTCCGTCGCGGCAAGCCTTCCACCCACAGTATCTACGGCACTGCGCAGACAATCAACAGCGCGACATATCAATACATCCAAGCAACCACTGTGGCTTCCCAACTTGGCAATCCCGCTTGTCTTGCCATTTTCATCGAAGAGATGCAGCAGCTCCACGTGGGTCAGAGTTACGACCTGCACTGGACGGAGACTGCGCGATGCCCCTCGGTGCCAGAGTACCTGAAGATGGTGGACAAGAAGACGGGCGGCATGTTTCGCATGCTGACAAGACTGATGCTTGCCGAGAGCCCGACCGGCGCGCAGATTACTGATGCTGATCTGAGCCGGTTCAGCTGTCTGATTGGACGCTTCTTCCAGATCCGGGATGACTATCAGAACCTGACGTCGGCCGACTATGCCCAGCAAAAGGGATTTGCGGAAGACTTGGATGAGGGAAAGTACTCGTTTGCGCTGATTCATTGTATCCAGACGCTGGGCGCGCACACAAAGTTTGCGCAGGATGCTATGCATCTGCACGCTCTTCTCATGAAGCGGAGGGTCGAGGGAAAATTGAGTGTCGAGATGAAGAAGGAGATACTGGCCATGATGAACAAGGCAAAAAGTCTAAACTGCACGCTCAGTCTCTTGAGACAGCTGTTTGATGAGCTGGAGAGAGAAGTTGGTATTTTGGAGGGGAAGTTTGGTCGAGACAATCTGTCTCTTAGAGTCATGTTGGAGATGATGAGGGTATAGCTGCTTGCTAGTTGCGTTCTCAGATAAATGATGACGATCTTGAGAGCATTACTTACATTATTGAATGAGATCTTCTATTTCATTTTTGTCGTTTATCTTGTATGCGACTATTACTTGGCCAAGTCTCATGTAAAAGTGCGATGAACGTAGACTGGTGGCTAACACACCACTTTTAATGGCTTAAAAATTCCCAAGTTGAGGATGCCACGACAAAGTCCCTTGAACGTCAGCCGCATTATCTATTGAATCAGAATATATTTCTATACATCTTTAATAACACTGGCTTGTAAGCTACTCGACTCTCAATCCTTTTCGCACGCGTTCCTTGCCGAGTTGCATCACGCCCACTACGCCGTCTCTGCCGTCCTCGCTTCCGCTTCCACCAACCCGCCCCTTTCACCGAGCATTGCCAGTCCAGCACTTCTCTCTGCGCCAAATAGCTTGCTGTTGCCATTGTCAAAATGATATCCTGTTACGCTCACATCCGCACCACCGGCGAGGTAGTCTTCTGACTCGCCCACAACTGCCCCCGCCGCAAGCCAGCGCGCGGCGATAGCCTCACGCCGCTGCTTACACTCCTTGTTGAGCGCGGGCCAGTAGACTCTGTGCTCATACTCGAAATTGAGCTGTCCTGGCCAATCGTCGCTCCAGAGCTGCTCGATAGGCACGTGTTGCGCAGTGTCATTGTCATACTTGAACTTGTCGCGGGTGGTGGGATCCATGAAGACGGAGATGATCTTCAAAAAGGCACGTATAATCCAGTGGACTAGACGAAGATGTATTAAAAACTGGAATACTGTTTTGATGTTGGTACTGCTGAAGCAGCGCACGTACCGTTTATCATGAGGACCATGCCAAGGCGCTCCGGGTAGTGATTCTGTAGCAAGGACAAAATCTCGCGGGCCATTGAAACCGGTATAGTTGTATCTTGTCTCTCTTTACTTGGCCTAAAGTTGATCATTAAGACAAGAGATTCGACCCCAGGAGGCATCATATCTATCATCCTCTCCAGCATGTAGAATAAATGCTGGATTTGCCGTGGGCTCGGGTCTGTGTTCTGTCGGCCTGGACTTAGATATTGACAAGGACGCCCCCGCTTGTCATACCCTAGGATGATTTGCTTGCCCGTCTCTTGCTCAGGCGAGAGAGACTCAGGTGTCAAGTCATCCAGGCCATATTCGCGGCGCCAGACGAGCGTCGCCTGAATGCGTTTGACAGCCTCGTCGATTGACCATTTCGTTGCGCGCAGGTAGCGTAAAAGGCACTCACGAGTGAGCCAGATACGCTCGCGACTTGTGATGGGGCCTGACTTGCTGAAATCATTATCGCAAGTGATGATTGTCCACGACATGACCTCACTCAGGAGTGTTTTGTACTTGACTTCCTGGTCGGGGCTCAGCTTGGGTCGTGGATACGGCTTGCTGTCTGGCGTGGGTGCCAGGAGCGCCGTTCTCCTTGGCTCTAAAGTGCCAGAATCACTATATTGAGATTCCATGATATGTTTTGCGTGCAAAACTTTTGAAAAGGCTCTCTATGGACTCTGCACGGGACTATTTGTGATGCGGAGTAATCTGGGCGTATATAGGCCACTCTAGGTTGCCCACAAGCAAAGGGACGATGTGATTTCCAGTCAAGTCAAAAATGGGTGCGGAGGGAAGCATGGGGAGGCCAATAGGTCTGAATCGGCAGCTATTCAGTTCAGTGTGAGACTGGGATGCGAGCATCTTCTTGCGACACCCTTGTGAGTCAAGGCAGCCCGAATTGGGCTCACGCCGGGCAAACGTCCCAGAGTCGGCGGCTGCCCAGACGGCTCATCGCGTGTGTAGGCAAAAAGATGAAACAGAAATCATGTTTACTTGCTAGGCTAGCGCGAAAGTTGGTACCATATAGAGACAAGCATCCGGAGCCAAGACCGGTGACAGGCCGTCCTGCCGCGGTTACTGAAAGTAGACGGCTACCGGCGGGCAGCGGGGAGCTTCCGCAATAGGGCATTTTACCGGATCATGACACTTTATTATAATTACGGTAGGATTATATCCGCATCAACTTAGTCTCAAAAGACGGCGGTGGACATTGTGATGAAAAATGACGTGGGAGGCAGCCATTTGGACAGAGGCTTTGACCAGTAATTCGACAACAAACAGCAGATGACTGCAATCACTGACTCAAATCCAATACTGAATAATCTACAGATCACTAAAGGGCCATAACCGGGTATAGTAGACTCGCACTCTTTAAACTTTAAACCTCCAACCACAGATCCGTATCATCTCCTCTTACATTTCGCCACCATTCACTCTGGCGCACAAGCTCTCCTTCATCGCCACCGAGAAGCGTAAAGTACTTGCGTAAAAACCACGTCCTGGCTTCCCAGCTTCTACTCTCCCAGGGTGTCCCCGTCGAGGCGTCGCCGGTCGCCGAGTCTGCAGCGCTCCTTTGGTCCGCAGTTCCCCCCCAGCAGACCAGGCCATCAATCAAGTCGTGATAGAACTCTGTGAGGTTGATTGCTTCGCCGCTGTTGATGACATTGCGCCTGAGGGTGGGAAAAGGCAGGACGTCGATAAAGGCTGCGTGCTGGCAGATGATTTGCTCCCGTATCGGCCGCATGTCAGGCTTTAGAGACTTGAAGATGGTTTGCACAGTCTTGACCACGGCGTCAGCTCTGGTGCCGTTTGTAATCTCGCCGGTGGGTCGGAAGAAGGGAGAAGTGGCCTTGTCGACACACATCATATCCTTTGTTATGCCAATGTGCAAGCAGAGAGACGCCATGGCCTCGACGATGCATATCCGCTCAACACGAAGAGTATGGGCATAGAGGTCGACCGAACGCGAGCTGTGACTGACGGTATCTGCGTCTAGCTCTAGGTATGCCCTCGGTCGTGATGAGGTCACTTGAACGTGCGGGCAAAGGCAGCCGCAGTCGACGAAGCCAGGCCAGTTTGGTGGGCTGGGCGATGGGCCTCCGTTGTAGTGAATATTGGAGGGGTCGATGGAAGCATTGAGATCCCAGGTATAGCCGTCCAATGCTGCGTCTGGGCTCATCGAGGTTGAAGGGTAGATGTCGAGCGCGTCGGCAGGGGACCCGTTGGCGGCGGCGCCGTTGAGGCCTTGCTCATCGTTTCGATAGAAGCCCAACTGTGTGTCGCCTGCGACATTGAACGGCGCGACGGGAGATGGGCTGGGTCCGCTTCTGTACAGCATCGACACTCCCACACTTTCAGAAAGCGAGGCTGCCAGCGTCTCGAGATCATCGAGGCGGGCCTTGCGCTTCTCTCCTAACCTCCACGGATCAGCAGTCGAAAACTTGGGATACGAGGCGAATGAAGGGGATGACGCAACCACGTACGATACTTTCTCTGCGCTTGGATATTCTGCTGGCGTCTCCTTTCGGCATCGCGGCGCACTGGCTTTCGTTTTGCTGGCTTGCCGCTGCCGCCATGACAAGGAGTCTCTTGTGGCGTGGGAAGATTCTCCAAAGTCGGGGCCGGCGTCATCTTGATCTTGGAGTCTGGGGGGCCTGCAAAATTGGGGGGCATCAGGATGTGGCTTACGTTCTCGAAAAGAGCCGAGATTCCGTATAGGTTGCGTCACAAATTAGTGAGGACAGGCAAATAATGTTGAAATGGCTGACGAGAGCGCCGTTTGTGTTCGTGTCACCGTTGAGGCAGGCGACCGACACAGGGCGCAGATACCCCCCACCTCTCTTTCAACTTATCACATGATCCAGCCTTACTTCAACAAAGAACCCGACCAAATGTTTGCCTACTGGGGAATCGCCAGTTTGAGCCAGTCGCCGATCGGATACTAGCCAGCTTTGGGCGCGAAGGGTGAGAAGGCTGCCAGCCTTGCCAGAGCTTGCCCTCGGCATGAGACTGAATCGAGGAAACAACACTGCAAGGCAGGATCCGGTTTTCAGTCATGAAGGATGATCTCAGTCAGGTCTTCCAATATTCAGTCCCGGCTTGTCTCGGGCTGAGAAACGCAAAGCTGCCTATTTTATAGTTTCCGACATCTTTTAAAGCTGTGACAACTGTCTGCACTTGCTTAGCCCCCATTCTCCGCAAGTATCAACTTCGTCTTTCCGACCCCCCTTCCTTGACGATGCATTCAATCAACGTCAGCTTCGTTTCAACCCTTGTCGCCGCTCTCGCAGCCACTGTGACCGCAGAAAATGATGCTTCGCAGTTTGACGCGAAACATTTCAATTCTGGTGATATAATCCAGCGAGATGTGGCCATCATTGGTGGCGGAGCTGCGGGCACCTATTCGGCCATTAGCCTCAAGGACAAAGGCAAATCAGTCATTGTCATTGAAAAAAAGGACAGATTGGGAGGTCACACCGAAACATACATTGATCCCGCCACTGGCACTCCTATGGACCTCGGAGTCATGATCTGGCACAACATCTCAGTGGTCAACGACTACTTTGGGCGTTTCGGGATTCCCCTCGCCAAGGCTGGGGCCTTTTTTACATCGTCGGAATTTTTCGACTTTCGAACCGGCAAAGAAATCAAAAGGTCATGGACTCCGACCGACGCACAGGTCTTGGCCGCATTTGCTGCATATTCGGAGCAGCGTGACAAGTATCCCAAACTCATCAATGGAACATTCTTGCCCAGTCCAGTACCAGAGGATCTTTACATGCCGTTTGGAGACTTTGTGAAAAAGTACAAAGTCGAGGCAGCCGTCACAAACATGTTCAACTATAACCCGGGCGTGGGAAACATTTTGAAGAATCCAACCGTCGAGCAGTATCGCTACTGGGGGTATAACATGGTGCATTCGCGTCTCACCGGCTTTCTGACAACGGCCCGTCACAACAGCAGCGAGCTGTATACCAAAGCTGGGGATGAGTTGACCGCGTCCTCGAGTCTCTTGTTGAATTCGCAGGTATCCGCAGCGCTTCGAGGAGAAGGGAAGACGGGTGTGCTGCTCGTGGTCTCGACGCCCTCGGGCAAGAAGCTCGTCGTGGCAAAGAAGCTGCTGGTCGCCATACCCCCGAAACTAGACTTTATGGGCCCGCTGGATCTTGATCACAGAGAAAGAAATTTGTTTGGCAAGTTCATCAGCACTGGATACTATGTTGGCATCGTCAAGAACGCTGGATTCTACAGCAATGCTAGCATCACAAATGCGATACAGGATGCCGAATACAACTTGCCCCAGCTCCCCGCGGCGTACAGCTTCGCCCCTGCGCCGCTTCCTGGACATCAAATGGTTACTTACGCCACGCCGCAAGGTCACAAATCTCTCCCAATGTCTGACGACAAGGTCAAGGCGGACATTATCAGCACGATCAAGAGACTGCAGCGTCAGAACCCCGGCAAATTCAAGCCCCAAGGAGAGCCCGAATTTGTTGATTTTAGATCCCATGCTCCATATGTTCTTCAGGTCAGCTCCAGGGACATCAAGGACGAGTTTTACAAGAAGCTCTACGCGCTGCAGGGACTCAGGAACACGTACTGGACAGGAGCAGCATGGAAGGCGCAAGATAGCAGTTTGCTTTGGAAATTCTCTGAGGAAATTGTGCTGCCACCATTGATTGCTGGTTTGTAAAGTTTAGGCGGGCCACTGGAAGCGGCTTCACTGAGGATTCATCTGATCTAGTACTGTCAATCTAATTTAGCAGTGAGAAAAGCATGGACGTGGACTGCATGGGTACAAGAGCGACATGTATGTCCGTGGCTAAGTAGCTAAAAAGACGACTATTAGACAAGTACCGCTTGCAGCTAAATTGACTAGTTGATGGTGAAATGAAATGCATCTAGTGTGTTTGTATCAAGTCCACAGTGCAACTTATTCACTAACTTCTCAAAAGTTAAAGGAGGCTTACAAGTAATTCAGTACTGCTATATACCCGCGCGAGGACAATGGGAAGCAACGTGCGCCATCTGTAGTGAATTGACTTTGTGACGAAACAATTAAATCTAGATACCATAATACAAAGAGAGTTTTTATAGTAAAACACAACAATAAGAGAGAAAAGGGAGCGACTTCCAGCAACTCTTAAGCGACCGCGACCGCGAACTGCGGATTTTCTTTTTCCGACTCCTAGTCCACCTTCTTCTTATTAGGAGCCTTGGGGACACGCACCCACCAGTACAAGCCACACGCAGCAAAGATATTAAAAACGATGAATGCCCAAATGATACCAAAGTTGCGCCAAATCTGTGAATAATCAGACGAGACCGAGGTAAGGAACACATTCGTGTCCTGAATGGGACAAAACTCGCACGCCTCGACCGCCGAGGGGTCTTTCACATAGCCTCCCGCCATACTCATGTAGGGCTTCATGTACTCGCCACAGGTGCCATTGAACGGATCAAAGCGCAAATACTCATTTGTCGCGCATTGAACTTTGGTGTTGGCTATGCCAGCAGACAAAAGGCCGCTGACAATGTAGGTGAATGGCGAGACGCGGTACATGAAGATCCAGAAACGCGGAAACTGGGCGGGAGTGGCGAGAACGCCGCAGAATAAGAGACAGAGCATGAATAGCATGTTGCCCGTGTTGCCTGCATTCTCGGCCGAGTCAAAGGCGGCAATCATAAAGTGCGAAAAGGTGGAAGAAAAGAGGAGGAAGCTCCAGACAAACAGCCACATTTGGGCCCCGCGAAGGACGACCGAGTCGGTGGGCTCGGCGTTGCGGTACAGGCCAATGGGGTAGTACCAGCAGGCAAAGAGGAGGAAAGACACGACCGTGTTCCAGGGGAGCTCGACGACAATGTTGGAAATCATGAAGACGCTCCAAGAGTAGGCTTTGGAGGGACGCTCGCGGGCCTCGTACAGGTTGCGCTGCGAGACAAAGTGCGGCATGATTTGCTGGATGAATTGGCCAAAGAGTGTCAGAAGCATAAAGATGGAAAACATTTGGTTTTGAAGACCCTGTTGAGTGTTGGGCGTTTTGTACAAGGAGAAGCCGATGAAGAGGGCCGAAGCAACGCAGAGAGCCACCTTGGAGTAAATGTATGTAGGAGAGCGCCAGATTTGCTGAAAGACGCGGAGCTGGACTTCTCGGAGCTGCGAGAGAAAAGGAACAGCAAACTCCTGATACATGGTCTCGTCCTCGGGCGACTTTGACTCTGATTCATCCTTGTGGGCATGGGCCAGTTGGGGCCGTTCTGCTTTCAGCTGCGCGAGATGTTGTTGGACGTGGTGATACTCGGCAGAATTGCGCCAAACGCTGAACCAGTCAATGTCCGTGTGGGATCCCGGCGCAGCTCCAATCACATCCAGCATCCATTCCGCGGGATTGGCCGCCGGCGGGCAAGGGTGTCCTCCATTGCGGACAAAGTAGTCAATCAGTGTCTGCGAGTTCCGTCCCACGTCTCCGTAGTAGACGGTCTGGCCGCCGCTCTTGAGGAGCAGCAGGCGATCAAAGCGCTGAAACAACATGGCCGAGGGCTGGTGAATGGTGCACAGGATGGCCTGGCCGTTTCGCTTGAGCTTGTCGAGCAGATCGAGAATGGCCCACGAGGTTTGCGAGTCAAGCCCCGAGGTTGGCTCGTCGAGGAACAGGAGCAGCTCGGGCTTGGCGGCGAGCTCGACGCCAATGGTCAGACGCTTGCGCTGCTCCACGTTGAGGCCTTCGCCGGGCACGCCGACGGCGGCATCCGCAAACTCGGTCATGTCGAGGAGCTTGATGACCTCGGTGACGTAGTCAATCTTTTCCTGTCGGGGGATGTGGGCTGGCTGGCGCAGAAGCGCGGAAAACGTGAGGGCTTCGCGGACGGTCGCAGTGCTCAGATGCAAATCCTGCTGCTGGGCATAGCCAGTCTTGCGCTGAAAGGAGGAGTTGCGCAGCTCCCCGTCGACGAGCATCTCGCCGGTGATGACGCCAATGGTTGTGCGACTGGCCAGGACATCCAGCAGCGTGGTTTTGCCAGCGCCAGAGACACCCATCAGGGCGGTCAAGGTGCCAGGCTTCACCCAGCCGTCGACGTGGTCCAGGATCCGGCGATTCTCCTTGCCGATTTTGATGTCAAAGCAGACATTGTTCCAGTGAAAGATGGCGGTTTGGTGGGCAATCATGGCAGTGTCGTCGGATCGAGGCTTCTCCACGGTGATGCTGCGGTCACTGCCATTTTCCAGATCCTGCTTGCTCCGAGCCAAGGGTCCACGGCCGCGGCGAAAGACGAGGATCTCGCCTTTGGACTTTTTCTCGGTGACAAATTCGGTGGCAATGAGATAGACACTTGTGAGAATAACCATGAATGCAAAGATGATGCCAATGTTTCTCCATTTGTATTCCGCATGGTAGTGGTACGCCGACTCCATGTAGTCGTCACCACGCACGTAGGCATTTCCGGGAATCGATCCAACCGTGGAGCAGACCGTGTTGGAAGCCCCGACTTGGGCGTACCTTGGGCCCGCGGGCACATAGTTGACGCAGGGAAAGTCGCGGTTGTGAAACTCGTTGATCATCAAAGATTCAAAGCCGTAGCTGATGGGATTGATGTATCCGATCCATCGCGCCCATCCACGCATATAACTGACCGGTATGGCAAAACCAGCATACATGGCAAGCCCGAGGATCATGACAGCCGAAGGAGCCAATGCTTCAACAAGAGTCCGAGACAGCGATGCAATGGATCGGAAAAAGGACGACATTGTGAGGGTGAGTATGAAAGATGCAAAGACAAAGAAGAAGAATGAACCTGCGTCTCGTCGCAGGTTGGTCATGAAATACAAGACGGTGTTGAAGAAGATGGTATTGAGGACCTTGTAGGGTAGATCCATCAGCATGGATGCAAAAGCTTCAGCCGAGGGATGGTAGAGGGCATATCGAGAGTGCTTCTCTACAATGGAGCGTTGTGCGTAGAGAGTCAGCATTTCGAGACCAGAACCGAGGGCGTTGATGAGGACCGCAAAGAAGAGGAGGGCGCAGCGCTGGTAAAAGCTACTGGTGTCGGGCTTGAGATTGTAAAAGACGCTAGCAATGACGAGGGCCATGACTGAATTACCAAACAAGGAGGAAATGGTGATGCTGGGATCGGCCTTCAACCTCTTGAAGCTGCGCCACAGGCACAATTCCACCTGCTGCTTGTAGGAAAGCGTAAAAGGCGACGTGACACGCTGGACCTTGGCTTGCTGGGCTCTCCGCGACTCCTTGAACTTGTCGAGATGCGGCCCGCCCACTGGATACGTGGCATTGTAGGCCGCAATGTCGTCGAGAAGCCGTGCTCGCTCCTTGGAAGCCTTCCACCGGGCGGCAAACTCGACCGCCGTCCGCGGCACGCGGTTCCCCCATCCCGGCTGCACCAGGCGCTCCAGGTCGCTGGTCATGGAGGTGAGGAAGTCGGCGTCGGTCTGGCGGTCCGGACACACAAAGCCCATGTCGGTAAAGTACGTCTTGGCGGCCTTTGTCGGGCCAAAGTAAATCTGCCAGCCCTCGTACAGCACGAGCACCTTGTCGAAGCAGTCGTACGCGGCCTGGGGCGCCTGGTAGATGGCGACGCAGGCCGTCGTGTCGTAGATATCCGCCTGCATGCGCAGCGTCTTGCAAAACTCGACGGCGTTGGCGCTGTCGAGGCCGCGCGTCGAATTGTCCCAGCACTGCAGCGGCGCCGACGTCAGGCAGGCCTCGGCAATGGTGACGCGCTTGCGCTCGCCGCCCGACACGCCGCGCACAAAGTCGTTGCCGACAATGGTGTTGCGCGTGTGGCTGATGCCCAGGCTGGCCATGATGACGTCGCGCGTGTGCGCCGCGTACTCGTTGACCGTCGCGCCCCCGGGGATGTGGCGTGGGACGCGCGCCCGGGCGGCAAAGAAGAGCGTGTCGCCCACGGTGAGCTTGGGGAAGTGCACGTCGACTTCGGCCGTGTAGATGGCTTCGCCTCGAAACTCCTTTGCCATTTGCTGTGCGCTTATACCTAGAGAGAGAGAGACGGGTTAGCAAGGGTGATGGTGTTTGATAGCTACGAGTGTTGTTGGCGATGGCGACATACCTTGGTAGTTGACGCTCGAGTTCTTGTCCACGTAGAAGCCGTGTGTCTCTCCCGCAATCGTCTTGAGAAAGGTCGAACACCCCGATCCCGGCGGTCCAAGCACGACGAGCATCTCGCCAGCCTCCACCACTCCGTCCAGGTTCTGGAGAATGTCGATGCGGCGCTGGCGCTGGCCCAAGGCCTTTTTGGCCAGCCCGACAGCCTCTAGCCACACATTGCCGACCGTCTTTTGGTAGTCCGTGTCGGAGCCGAAGCCGTAGGCATTGAGGTTGCTAAAGGCAACGCCCGCGGTACGGAGAGGGTGTGCCTGCCCGTCCGAGGTGTGCATCTGGAGCATGGCCCTGCACCATGCGCGGGCTTCGAAATTCTCGCCGTTGGGATCGAGACGAGACCCTGGCTCGGCAGCAAAGGGATTCAAGCCATTGGTGGAACCCGTGCTTTTTCCCGAAAACTGCCGGGCCAGTGTTTGAACTTTTTCTTCTCTGCTCTCCTCCAAGTCAGAGATTCCTTCCTTGGAGCTTCCAGGCTCAGAGTCTTGGTGCGGCAGGTGTAGTGTTGTGCCATGGTCGCGGCCAGCATGCGCCGCAAAGTTGGGCGTGACGCTCATCTATGCTACTTTCTGTCGTGTCAAAACGGCAAAACAGCAAATGGAGCATCAATCAAGCGTATCAAGTGTTGTGAAGAATTCGAGAGCGTTGTGCTGCTGGGATGATGAAAGATGGTTTGTTGGAAGCACGGGGCCCGAGGTAGGCTAGATAAAGGAGCAAAGAAGCATTCTTGAGCACCCTTGGACTAATTCTGGATCACATAAGATGAGATTCTATAGATGGCTCACGCGAATCGACGGGCGTAATGGGCTCAGCCATGTAGCCTTGGAGCGCAGATTGCAGCATCAGCCATGTTTGAGTGGTCAACGTCAGCCACGTCCAAGTGGCTACCGTCAGCCATTTTGAAACTTGACAGATGGCCACCAGCGCTCGCTTGGGCGCATCTCGATTAATATGATCAACTAGCTTATACGATAAGGGGTTACTCTTGTTCCTGGCTCCGGCTTTAATCGTAAAGCCTGAAGCCATCTCCTGGCTTGCCCGTTGAAAGAGTTGTCAACGCCCGCTCCACGACCGACCCCTAAAAATGGTGAAAAAAATACACGGCTGATTTACGGCCACCACCATCATACTGAGAAATTATTTTCTTTATAGGTCTATTTAGTAAATCAAGTATATCATCTTGTTTTAACCATATTTTTGTTACTTTCCGAGACGTAGTTATCAGCATAACTGTTCAGGCGCTGCTGATGGCTGACTAGTAGACCGACCATGATTTCTCGCCCCCAAAGGGCGACCGCACTGCCTGACAACCTGCTTCATCTGCGACGAGCCTCGGCATCACGACCATCAAGGTGGGAGGCCACTTTCCGGGTCCATGGTGCTCCTCTTACATCTGACATCTATTTCTGGCCGATACCTTTGTGCTGACGCTAGCCGGCGTGGGCAACTATGAGAACGACGACCTGCTAATTGCAGCCTGTTGGCTCTGATGTGGGCAGCCATGTCCCGATACAGATTTTCTGCAGCGCATGGCAGCTTTGAGGAACGCCATCATGCCCGCGTCAAGCTGGTAGGTATCTGTGTACATGGTGCCTGACTTGTTTGCGAGCCACTCCCAAGACACTCCGTAGCAAGGCTTCTCATGACTTTGCCGCTTGAACCTTCAGACGCCAATCCAATGCCCGGACATGCAGAAGAAGAGTCATCTAAGAACGAAACAAGCATTAGACTGCTGTCGAGGCCACTCTATCCTGTAAACGGTGACGATCGTTTTCATAAAGTCGTGCAAGAGCTGCAGATGCAAGAGCCACCTTGTGCTAAGCTCAGGAACCACTTCTTTCCCTTTTCTGCCATTTCTCTTCTTCTGCATTTCTTCCCATTTTCTCTTTCCTTGACTTCATTTACTTTCTCTTACTCCTTCGTCATGACCGCTGCGCTAGGCCTCCTTTTCCCTCCTCGCTTCGCTCGACATCCGCCGTAGAAGCTCGACTACGCTTCGCTGGTTGAGGAACCAAGTCAAATGAAAAACAGGACCATCGGATGCTTTGCCACCGAACAACTCTTCACCATGTCTCTCGTTTCCAACATCACCAATCATCATCCTCGCTTGCCGATGCGTCCATTGTTGCGGCTACGCTTAGTTGTTTGAGCACTGCGTCGGTCGCTGGATAATACCTTGACAGCGGCAGAATACCTACTCAGCCCTCGACCTAGCACTCGGTGCTGTTTTCTATTCACCCGGAAAAGATGTTTCTTATGCATCATGTGCATTCTCGTGCTCTACACGCGAGCCCTGTCCGATCTCGGTACTTTGTGCAAGACCTGCGTCAGCACCCTGCAGCCACCTTGGGCAGCGTCGGCCCTTTCGGACGGCCACACCTGAAAGTTTCAAGTAGGTCAGGCTGAACCTTGAGAAAGGTTCCCCTCTTCTTTCACATTCTTGTGCAACAGTGGTGTTCCCTTCCGGCGACTGCTCGAGGTCGCTACCAAAAGATGACCAACCTATGTTGCGGCTTGTTCGGCCGCTCGTGCGACAAGCCAGACGAGCCCGCCGATAACAACGCACCGAGGCCGACCGCTCAGCACGCAGAGTCGGCGGCGGCGAAATTGACGGCCCCACGCATGAGAGGTCGCGGCCGTACTCAGATACCCAAGCTGCCCTACGGCCCGACTCAGCCTTTGCCTGACACGGAAGCCCCAAAGGAAACTGGCGGGCTCGCTGATACATCCAGCTTCTGCTCTGTCGTTAAATCCTGCGATACAGCGAGTCAAAACATCCATGACGTGGTCCCGTCTCTGCCTGCACCTGACGCTGCTCTCAGGCAGCCTTGCAGCGACATCGACGCGTCTTTGGCGCAGCCGTCGCCTACTCTGCAGGCGACCGCTGATGAAACGGGCAAATCGAGTCATGATGCAGCCTCCAAGACGGCCGACGAGCCTTCATCATCTCCAGCTGCCACCAGCGCCGAAGCTCTCTGGCGCGATGCGTATCGGCAGCTCTCAGAAACAGAGGAAGACCTGATCAAGGGCTATGAAAAGAATGTGCACAAATATTTCCTAAGTACTAGTACCACCACCGGCGAGGCGGCAGCGATTCAACAGCCCGTCGTCGACCTGTCGAGTCCAGCGGGCGTCGCAGCGGTGGTCACGGCGCTCGAGGACCGCCGCAAGGAGAAGCAGCTTCAAGTCACGATCCGGTGCAAGAAGTACGTTGTTCGGGAACAAGTGGAAAAGATTATCAAAGTAGTGAAGCTGGCGGATGGAGGCGTCAAAGCCGCTATGAGCGTTCAGCCCTACGCGGCCCTTGGCTGGTCAATTCTGTCCGCCATTATTCCGGTAAGTTGACTCGTTATTGACCCCGAATTGTTTACCGTAATTCTTTCCGGTTTCCTTCTTTTCGCCCAAAATTGCTCATTTTCCCCATCAAGTCATTGCTATTTTACATTGGAGCAGCAGCTAACAAAATTCAGCTGCTCCAGAGCAGCTTTGACAGTAATGCGGCTATGATCAAGGGTCTTGCCACTATTGCCGAGCTTATACACTACTGGAGAAACTTTGAGATCCTTTATTTGCCGAGCATGTCGTCCGAGGCCTACAAATCACTCTGCAGTCCATTGTCTAACCTATACGCAAATATGCTCAAGTATCAATTCACCGTCGTCAATCACCTTTCCAAGAATCAGGCTTCTCGTGGCGGCAGTGCTCTACTCGTGGCCAACGACTGGAAGGACATGGAAGAGGCTATTTCTGCCATGGATGAGCGTTGCCGTTTGCATATTGACGCGTTTCAAGAGTCGCAAATCAAGGTCCTAGTGGAAGAAGAGGGCCGCAAACTTGATCGCCTTTGCCGCGTGACGGAGGAGAGCTCTGAAAAGGTCGCACACATCTTATTCGAGAATAGACAGCAGAAAATAGCGGATAATTTGTTCGAAGCGCTCAAAACGGCGGCGGGGGACTATGTTAGCGGTAAAGATATCAACACCGAACCAGTCCCCGGAACGTGCGTCTGGTTCTTCAATGGTGATGCCCTTGAGCGGTGGCGCGACGGCCACATGTCCGGCATATTTTGGGTCACCGCAGGCCCTGGTTGCGGCAAGTCTGTTCTCGCAAAAGCCATGATTGACTCGAACCTGAACAGCACTCTTGTGACAGTGAACTTGTCGGCAGATACATTCAAAACGCGAGAGATGCACGTATGCTACTTCTTCTTCAAGGAGGGCGAGACCAAGCGCACAACAGTCACGGCCGCGCTTTCTGCGATGCTTCATCAGCTACTAACATATCAGGCCCCAGCGGGTGCCATAGACGCAGCTATTACCGAGTATCGAAAGCACGGGCCGCCCATGACCGAAAGCCCCAGTGTTCTATGGAGTGTTCTCAAGAGCTGCGCTCAGGCTGTTCCTCACAGAGACATTGTTTGTGTACTGGATGCCCTTGATGAGTGTAAGGGCGCGGACCGCGAATGGCTTGTTCAAGAACTCTACACCTTTTATGACGACCCCTCGCCCTTGGCAAAGAACCTCAAGTTCTTCATTACGAGTAGGCCATACGATCACATTGAGCTCCTGTTCCGGGATCTGTCGAAAACAGTGCACTATTTTCGTTTTGAGGCCGACGACCACCTTGACGATATTGCCTACGACATTGGCCTTGTTATTGACAAATACGTGCAGAGTTTTAGCAATGACTTGGACGAGGAGGATCTTGCAACATTTGCGGACAGCTTGAAAAGTAAACGCAACAAAACCTATCTGTGGCTGTGCTTGACTATCGACATCATCAAGCATAGCCCAAGCCGTTATAGCAGCCGCGCGCAGCTTGAAGCCTTGGTGGAGCGGATTCCTGACGCCTTGGCCGATGCCTACGAGTCGATCCTAAGCAGAACTGAGGATCAAGAGATGGCCGAAGCATTATTGGGTATGGTCCTCGCGGCGGAGCGGCCGTTGACGGTTGAGGAAGCCAACCACGCTCTCGCATATGCCCTGGCCGACGCCGACGCCGAGGCGGAGCCCAAGCCGTGGCGCGGCGATATCAAATCAAAAATCATAAACATCTGCGGACTCATCATCACCATATATCAAGACGAACTGCACTTTATCCACTTGACCGCGCGGGAATTCCTTGTGCAGCCGCGAAAGCTACAGCCTGCTGGAAAGGCATGGAGGGTCGATTCGCCGACGCTGGGCTGACGCACGGCGTACTTGCCAAAGTTTGCATGCATTTCCTGCTGCGCCATCCAGAGGAAAATTTTGAAGCACACGAAAAGATACCATATCATCATGCGCTATCGTTGTACGCCGCTAACTCTTGGCATCGCCACTATCGTGCATCAGGCGAGTCGGTCATGACTCAGACACTCAAGCAGACTCGCCTGTTGTGTGACCCTGAAAGCCCGTCTTGTAAATCGTGGTTTAGTAGAGACCGCGAGGTGTGGAGGTATCTGTATGATCAACTCGAGTTCTGCCATCTGCCCAAACTTGACTTGGCTATACGCCATGGCCTGAATTTTGTGGTGCAAGACATTCTACGCGATGATGATGTCGACATTCATGAGATTGGTATACATGGCACAGCATTACATGCCGCAGTACGCAGTAAGAGCAAGGACCTATGTTTACTCTTGATTCGACACGGCGCGGACGTTGACGCCGTCGCCACACACCACGGCGTTTATTGCACGCCGCTCTATGAAGCTGCCTGCATCTATAAGAACGTCGAGCTGACAGATTTGCTGTTATCTCACAACGCAGATCCGCTATTCAAAATTCAACTGCCTGATGGCAACCTCTCAATGACAGCACTGGACGATGTTGAGGACAAGGAGCTTTTTAAGATGATGGCGGCGAAAGTGGCAAACATTGCTTCGCCCGAAGCCATACTCTCTGCTTTTGAAAACGAGTTTTCGAACTGCAGTCGGACTTGCCAAGTGTTACTTTTAGATCTGTTACCGGAGCGGATTCTCGGCCAAGAGTCATTCCTCACCCCAAAAGTGATATTGACCTTGCTCAGTCATAGGCTTGTAAGCATTAGAGCGATCCCACTCATCGTTCAACTGAAAGATCTGAGCTTCATTTTCAAGGATGAAATGTTTCGGTTGCTTCTTTTGGCCTTGATGCGCACGGATGTGGATATTTCCCAGCGTATTGAAGTTTTTTTGGAAGAGAACCCTTCCTGTGTTTCTTTCATCACGCCCAACATGGTGGCAGATGCAGCCGAACTGAGTAGCGTAGCCACTCTGAAAGCACTTATCAAGCATTGCCCAGCAGACACTCATGACAAAAAAGAGCTCTTGCTCAAAGCAACACAGAATGACAGGCATAGTATCGACATGGCGACTGCACTCGTTGCCGATGGCGTGGCTTGGGCAAACGACGAATCACTGCAGAGGAGGGTGCTGCGGAACCCCTATCCCGAGCTTCTGGACATGTTTGAGCTGATCCCTCAATACAGTCTGCCTATTGCACGCCAACTAATCCATGTGGTTATATATAATGGGTTCTGGCCCTCGCGAAACGTGGTTCCTGCAATTCGACGGATCATACAGCGCTCCCCTCCTGATGATGTCGTGGTCACATTTAAGCATCTCTGCCAAGCCGCCCACTCTGGAGATGGCGACCTAATGCAGCTTCTACTGGGAAAAGCGACACCTATTGGCCAGAAAGAAAGCAGCCTTGTGACTCTCTTTCGTGCTGCAGCCGGCAATTACATTTACGCAACAGACGTGTTTCAGGTACTGCTCGACAAGTACGGTTCCGAATCCGCCGCCGCGCCAGCAGTTATGCGTGCAGCGCGCCCAGAAGCCTTGAAGCTGATGCTGGAGAGCTTTCCGGACAAGTTGGAACTTAGCCCGGCTGTAGTCATGTCGCCACTAGATTCAGAGGTATTGCAGGTACTGCTTCAATCAAAGCCGCACGATACGATAGTAAACTTAACGGCAACGTTACGTATGCACCCATATATGGAGAGAGAAGAAGTTTTGGAACTTAGACGCCCTCCCATCGACGAGTCTACTTTACGCCGCATTGGAAACGAAGACATGGCACTTGACGCGCTCGAGTTCCCGACAGGCCTAAGCATGGCCTGCAGGAAAGTTGCTCTGCGAGTTCTGGCCGACGCTGCCGGGGACGAACTGAGCGACCAGATTGTGGCTGCCATTATACAACTCGACACGGCGCAGCTCGAGAAGGTTGAGAAATATTGCCCGCGCAAGCTCCGACAGCCATCAAATATCGTCGCGATGACGGCAGCAAATGGCAATCTAGACGCTCTGCGTGAGCTGAAAGCTCTCTGCGGTGCTTCTGTAGACGGATACGAAGAATTATGCCGTCTTGCCGATTTCCGAAGCAACATTCGGCATGGGCACGTTGATCCCAAAGACGGGCCAGACGAGACGATGCTCAGAGCAAAAGACGCGCACGGCTTGACCGCACTGCACACTGCGGCTGCCCACGCGGCGCCGGAGGTGGTGCGGTATGTTCTAGAACGAGACCGTACACTCATCAACGAGAGAGACCGTAGAGGGTGGACAGCGCTGCACCACGCTGCCGTGCGGCGCAACGTGGCCATTGTCCAATTACTGGTCGACGCGGGCGCCGATAGAAGCGCGGCAGGTACTTTTGGAGAAACAGCAGCGCTTCTCGCGTGGCAGAGCAACAACCTTTTACAGACACTGCGAGGCAATAATAAAAGAGTGGATGGATTCAGCTCCCGCTGGTCCGTCGACAGTGAATTTGGCGACGAGAGCGACGACGGGAGCGACGACGAAGAAGCAGAGCTAACGGAAGTTTTGAAGGAAATACTCACTATTCTTGGTGAGCCTGAGTATAACGGTCCCTGGCAACTGACGAACTAGCATTTCTGATACTTGATATACGACACAATAAAGCACGTTTGCTCGTAACTATAGTGTTTCGGGGTCGTCGGTGGAGGGTGATGCCATTTCCGTCAGTGAAAAACCCTCTTCAATAGATCGTGCCGGACGAACGCCACACAAGCACCGTTCATCCACTTGCGCGCAAATTGGATATATTGACTGTCCATACATCTGAAGGGCGATGCCTTACTACTGCAGATAGTAGACTACCTGGAAGACGAAGATGCCAGCTGCCTTGTGCAAGTGTACCATTACTTCTTACATCTCTTGATCTATAGATACCGCCGGTACGACGACCATGGTCGGACCCTCCTGATTAATGTGTCTATTCTAGGGCATTTGAAAGTTGTATAAAGTTGATTCTACATTGTCTGCGTACGCCATCACGCCATCCTGCCGTACCTACGCCAAAGAATGCGTGTCTTGGCACCCAATGTGTCTGCATATAAGTAGCCGAGCGGCCAGATGAAACGACGGCCGAATATTAAACCAAACTCGTCTACCGCCGACTTGGCTGTAATCAATATATATCTCAGAGCGACTTCATTACTAGACTGTCCCGGTATCAGCCAACGTCAAAGTATCCGCCGCAAACATGCTCATCATGTCCTCCTCCGTCACATCCACCAGAAACTGCTCCATCTGTCGGCTCTGCGTCCTCACAAAGTGCACATGCCCAGCCACCTCCCGGACCTGGCCAAGCGCCTTGGTCGCCAGGCCCCAGACTGACGACATTTGTCGCAGCGCGCCAATACACAGACGCACCTGCTCGCGCACGCCGGCGTCGTCATCGTCGTCGTCGCCGCCGCCGCCGCCGCCGCCGCCGCCGGACCACGCGCTGAGCTGCACAATCGACGCCAGCACCACGGCGCAGATGAAGAAGTGCGTGTGCAGCGTGAGAGGCGTGCGGTGCGTCATGAGCTTGCCAATCTCGTTGGCGGCCGTGGCGACGTGGCGCGCGTGCAGGCTGACGCGAGGATGATGCGCGACGGCGGCGGCGGCGGCGGCGGCAGCGGCGGCAGCGCATCCGTCACTCTCGGGGGTAGTGCTGGCGGCGGCGGCGGGCGGCGCGCAGGCGTCAATGGCTTGGGCAGGAGCGAGGTCCAGCTGCGCGCGCGATTGGTGCAGGAGAATCGAGGTGGTGTGGTTGAGCATGTGCGCCTGGAACATCATCTCGTCCGGCCGGCCGTCGCGCCGGAGCGAGTCGCGCTTCGACGCCGGCAGGTTGTGGCGCCAGCTAGAAAGTAGGACTTCGAGCTGTGCGTGTACAGTTGCGTCCACCTCGGCGGCTTCGTGGTTTTGCATCACCTTGCCGAGGTTCTGCACGCTCAAGACCCTGTAAGAGAAGGACGAAAAGTCGCAGCGCTTGATGCTGAGATCGCGGTCGGACAAGTCTTGCAGCGAACACGGCTCTGGAATTTGCTACAAAAGTTGGGCGGATTTTTTTTTAGCATGCAGGTTCTTTTTGGTGGAAAGCAAAGCTTTAAAAAACTTACATCCGTCTCATAGTCGTCCTCTTCGCATGGAAATCCAACATCAGTTGGCATGTCGAAGAGAGAGAAAGTGGTGGCGCGGTGGGCACCAGCAAACATGCCGTCCAGGACATACAGCTCCCACCACGTTCGGCGCCAGCTCTCATCCAGCACGCCGGATCTTGTTTTAGACTCTGTAATGAATTGACTATAGTTCATCCCAAGAGAGAGAGCCATTTGCTTTGTCCTAGTCAAGAGCTCCACGGCCTGTTGCGGGTACCCTGTGCCGTCCAACGCTACCAGCAGCACCGTCAGCGCCTGAACGGTAAAGCCATTCGCCCTCTTCGTTTGAGCCTCGTCCACAGACAATCGAGCGATATCCAATAGCGGCTGTTGGTCCATTTCCGGTGCAATGTATTTTGATCCTACCCAGTGCATGACTGCTAGCAAGGGCTGGACTGCCTCCTCCTTGACCCGCGGGAGGAGGTGTTTTTGTGGCAGGACCAATGGGTGGCTAGGATGAAAGTGGTAATAGTACGACGAGATGCATCGTTCAAAGCTTACCGCCGGGTGTGGTCGATATTGCCGCGGCCCTGCTGAGGCAGGACGGGGAGCGGACTTGCTCCAAGCGACCAGGGAGCCGAGGGCTGGTGAAGTGGCGCTTCGAAATGAGGATTTTCGGCGACAGTCGCTCGCGAGAAACCCGGCGTCCTGTTGCGAACGCTTAATTCCCGGCGACGAGACTGCTTCTTGGGCTGCTATGCTCTGGCTGCAGCCGCGTGTGTGAGTTCTTTGTCCTCGCCGAGAAGGGACAAAGACACAATTGCTTTCCGAGTCGACACATCTCTTACACGGTCGTCTTCCGTCGCATTTGAGATGTCGCTGACGCTTCTCCGAGGTCAATACATACAAAATCGACGGGCGCTGCCGCACTCACGCATTCAAGACAAGCACCCGACGTCCCGGGTTCCGCAACTTGAGGCGGTAATGGGGGGTTGGCAGCACATGGGTCCGTAGCCCGGCTGATGGATAAATCCGTACTCATGTTTCTAGGGACGACTTGTCTCAAGTTACGGGACTTTTTTGTTTGATGGGTTGAGAGAATCTCGAGCTTTCGCCGACGATGGAAAAAGAGCACCTAATGGGAAACTGGTGGCCACGACTTCAATCCCCGGCTGTCCCCGTGCTCGGGATTCGCGCCGGGGCTGGTTCGCCGATGTGCCAAAGCCCGAGGACCCACACCATGCCCCGTCCTCGCCGCCAACACTGCCAACACCAGACCGACAATTGTGAACGATGGGGAAAAGGACAACACGAAGAGTCCATGACTGTTCACTGCAGCCGTTTTCGTTTCTCTAGAATTGAAGTTTTTCCTCGCTGCAGCTCTGTGTTGCAATCAACCAAAGTAAAACTCAGCCGATATGTCCATGTCGAGGCTTGACAATATCTGAAAGGTATATATAATAAAGGAACTGATAGAGTTTGCGTTCCTGAATCACGAGCTCAGCATAACTACGCACTGCCTGGTGCTTGAGGGTGCCACACGACTATGCCGGAGTAACCGCGAACCTATGGATTAGAAAGAATCTATGCTACCAGAAAAGTTTTTACCCTGTTTTAGTGGTTGGGTCTCGTTTCAATTTTCGAATATGGCTTTAGTAGGTAAGCTAAAGCGAATCCCACGAGTAGGGGCTCTTGCACTAGCGGATATCTAGATTTCCCGAGTCTTTACAGTACGTACCTATTGCAGGCTTGTTTCAGCCCTACCCCTAGTCCGTTGGATGCCTCTTAGAACAAGCTATAAAACCATTTCAGCCTATACAATCTAGGTATTCTAGCCGTCAAGCCTCCCTCTATAGTCCTAATCAATTTTTTATAGCAATGCTTCATGTGCTCAAGTAGCTTTTATTGTTGCGTAATCTAGCTATAAAGCAGACGATCAATTTCTTTCCCTAGCGATAATAAAAACCAACGTGAAGATCTTATAAGAGACTGCGGAGCTATAGCATAAGATCCTGAAACTTGCCATGGTGTGTCTGTTTCCTAGGGTTGGACCTCTTCAGTTGACGACTAGGCTGCGTTCTGCTGAGCTGCGTTCTGCTGAGCTGCGTTCTGCTGAGCTGCTTTCTGCTTAGCTGCTTTCTGCTTAGCTGCTTCCTGCTGTTTCTTGAACCTCTCAGCATTCTTAGCTTTCGCTGCCTCCTCAGCCTGAAGTTTCGCGTCTGCCGCATCCTTTTCCTTCTTAGCTGCCACCGCCTTTTCCTTGTTCTTCGCTCTCTCAGCAGCTTGCTTCTCTGCGACTAGAGCATCTCCATCAGATTGGACCTGCTTGGCTTGGCAGTTCAACTTTTCTTTCGTGGACTCTTCCAAGCAGTTGGCACCTCCTGCAGAGTTGCATGCCTCGAGTACTGCGTCCGCTGCGTCGTCGCAATTCTGAAGGTCGATCTTATCTTGATTCTGCGGAGCTGCAAGAGCGAGTCCAGCAAAGGTGGCAATAATAGCGATAGTGAACTTCATCTTGATTTGATTTCAGAGATTTTCCAAAAAAGATAGTAATTGAGGAAGTAAGTGTGAAAAGGGCCTTATAGAAAGACAAGTTGCAAGATATGATTGAATTTAGGACTGAGAGTGAATGTCTTGGAGTGTTGAAGAATTTGCTTGATGTTAGACCTGGCTTAGATATTTATATGTCTGTATTAGCTCGGATTCTTAAAGCTATAATCGTCCTTGAATTCTACGCATAAATTTACGTGAATCAAGGACAATACCCTGAAACATAGATTAATATAATAATGCTATATAAATGACTCGTCTAGCATTAGATATTATGCTTGTATACTCTTATTCTTAAAGCTACATATTACATCTATCAATAGTCTTATACGTTGATCGTCAGTTACCTTCCTAGCTAGCAATGTACTACTACTAGCAGTACACTACTATACGTGATATATACCTGCTAGTCAGCTATAAGTAGCCTCTAGCTAGTAGTTACTAGCTAACACAACATAACAACTACATTACTATATATCATCTTAGTATCTTCTCTTTAGCAGCCTGATACTACAATTATCCTTTAACTTCTTTATATAAATTTATATTAATAAGAGATAATATAGTTAAAACATAGATCAATATAATAATATACTGTAAATGACTCACCTATCTTAGATATTATTTATATATATCAACCGAAATCTAGGTGAAAGACCTATCAACAACACAGTCAGCTATCAGCAACAAGGCTAGCCATCTACTAGCTAGGCTACATAGCTAGCTTCTAATGTACTAGGGTTATGAAACCCGCCTGACTTTTAGGGGTCACAAGGGCTTAACCCCCTGTGTTTTAAACGTATTACAGAGCGTTACAAAATACAACTACTTAAAACACCCTCTTAGACTACTAAAGGAGACCTAAATGATCGGAATTTAACAGCGTAATAATTCCTAAATTCTAGCTATATATTGAGGTAAAATTGCTGTATTTTTAGACGGTAGAGAAGACATTGTCTGACTTTGGCTGAGGACTTGACGTAGCTTTTAATCGGCAAAAAAGGATTTCAGCCATCCTAGCCTATAGAGGAACATCTTTGCTACCGTAAATAGGCAGTTGCTTATCTCTACGGTGTCGCCATTAGCTGATTGAATGTGCGGATACGCGAGTAATGGAGTAAAATCATGGGCGCTATAATCAATCAGGCGTCAAAGGGAAGCTCAGCGCTAACAGGACATGACTTGATCACTGCCATGGGTAGACGAGGATCAGTCTTGGCTAGTATCCACCTGTTGAACATCAGTTTCAAGGAGATGGCGACAGAAGAAAGCGTCAGCTATGCAAGACCATTTTATATAATGAGTCAGAAAGCCTAGAACGTCCGAAGAGCGCCGTCATTTGCGCTATGGTATAGGTAATCAAGGGGTAGTACTCTATGCCACTGACTCACGACAACGTCCGTTGTATAGTTATAGAGGGTGCACAGTACATGTACATGATTTATGACTCGCCTTATAATAATTAGATTAGATAGTAAATGTAAACTGGTTAAGAGGTTGATATTTATACTAATGCCCTGATGCTGAGTTTCTGATAGGGACTACACTACGTATAGCTTGAGATGTGCTTGTTCACAAGGTTTAAGTGTTTAGGAATTGAAGAAGAACCGTGTTACTAAAGAGTAAAGCTTTCAGTGCAT